TCGGACATATATGAAAAAATTAATTTCCAGCCATTCTAACAGTGTTAATCAAAATAGTATTACCTATCAGAATTTAGAACAAAATGTTTTTGCAAACATTTTATTGCATGCTACTGCAAGTTTTTAATTCAAACTTTGCAAAAGCAAGTTTTTTTTAAGGAAATAAAAAACCAAAAGTTAAAGACAATCCACGTGGTCAGGAGTGTATCACTTTGTAATTCAAAACATCCTCCCATACTCATGTGATGTAATATTTGTAATTATTTGAGTGCATCTTTCTGTCTCACAAGCATATCTGCTTTTATGTTCAGTAATCAGAATACAGGAGAACTACCGCAGTAACTATTGTGGACTTCAATCCACAATACTGATAGAGTTCAGTCTATGCCCCTAATCAATTTACCTGTTTAAGAGTTATTATGGCAACAATTTAAATCAGTGTTCTTGAAGTAGCTTATTCTAAAAAAGCAGTTGTGGCATCATTTATATTGAAAAAAATAAATTATTATTTAATGTGTTCTTTCTGCTAATATGATAATATCTGACTAACAAGCCACAGTTATGGCCTACTGCTCCACATGTAAGGTATACACATGTTCTTCAGAAAAACTGGCATGGATACTCAAGTGCTAGGCATCTATGACAATGTTACAGCAAACAAAGCTTTCTAAACATGGTCTGCTGATACATTTGGGAGTTCAAATTATAGTTGGGTTAAAAACTATAAACATAAATCAAGCATGTACTAATTTTAAATGCAAAGGAGTGTATTAGATGGTTAAAATAGAATCTTTATGTACACAAAAGTTTTACATGATTTTTACATTGTACATCATTTCAGTTCATGTTGACCACACAGTTTAAAACATAGGGTATATGTGAGTACTAGTAAACATATTTAAGATTGAAGCCCCAAAGGGCAATATAAGAGTCAAAATGATATAGAAAACTAGGTCTGGAAAAGGAAATTTCAGTTTAAATCTTATTCAGTTATGATAATCAGTAGGAAATGACTTTTTTCAGTAATTTCAGGATAAGGTAGGATATATCTATGTGCTTACCAACATTTTGTACAGAAATATTAGAGTACCACTGTTAGAAGATAGTATGTACTGGAGTTTTAAAATGAATTATTTTAAAATAAATTTAAATTCCTATGTTAAATATAGAACTTTATAACTGCTTCTCCCAGACAGCTTGGTCTCAAGTTTATCAAGGCCATATAAAAATAACGAGACAATCAAACTAGATTTTATGATATTGAAGATTTTTTTTCCTGAAACTGCACTTGTATTTTAGATTTCAGAGCACTAACATAAAAATCAAACTCTCTTAAAAACTGACACATATTTTAATCTATTAAGAATAGACATATTTTAGCTAGGAACAGTTTTTTAAAAAAATTTCATCTACCAATAAAATAACGTAATATTGAAAATACATCTAATGTTTCATGATAACTTATTAACAACTACAGTTCAATCTTTTTGAAATACAGAAACTTGAAGCTGTCCTCAAGATTCAAATACAAAAAAATTCTTATTCAAGATTTAATATGCAAATGTATTCATGCCCTACACATCTTCAAAAGTGTGTACAATATTTTCATGTGCAGTTATTTTGTATAAACGGTACATTAATTTAAGAATGGAAAAATGTATTAAATGAGCTTTTCAGTTAATGTTAATATTATTTAAATAAACATTCCTACAAATTAACAATTGTATATGGAGTTCCCTCTTCTGACTGAAATAGAACAACCATTATATATACATATACATATATATCTTTTAATGAAAGGCTTTAAAGTCTGATCCTATTAAGAATGACTTAATGACATATTTTTATTAAAGAAATATATTTGAAAACCGTATGTTCTTTATAACACTGAATGTTGAAAGGAATTATAAATTATGAGAAAGTACTACAATTATAAACCAATTATTGGAATTATATTCCAGAGAAACATACGGAATCTGCTTCAGCTTTGGGGCCAAGTCAATCTTTAATCTAAATGGAAAAATAAGGTAATAACAATATAAAATATCTCAAGTTTTCTTCTTTAGATCAAGTTACTCATGGCTTTTTAATGATATCACTTGGCTTGGATCTTTGCTCATGTCATATACAGTCTGATGTTCTGAAATAATTTAATCAAAATATTTGGACAGAAGCCAATAATCATTAAGGACATCTGAACTGTGAATTTTACTGTATGTAAAAAACAAGAGTGAAAACTGACATTTCAGTAATTCTAACCACATTAGTGAAAAAATACTGCTGTGGGTGATTACTGAATTGTCTTTATTATTTCTTCTTATTATATTCCTGTATGAAACATGTCCCTCTCTACAAAATGAGAGGGAAAAAAACAGAAAGAAAGGGAAGTGGGAATATTAAAATATTCAGCATTAAAACAAACTCAGTTTGCAATAGTGCCAAGTGTTTATAATACATTCTGTCCCAATATTTATTTTATGAGAACGATATTAGAACATTT